AATTGAATACATATGGTCACAAACTGCTGTTATTATGATTTGTTGAATAACCACTGTGTGTTACCGTAAATATAAATGATATCACCAAATTCTTTTAGCAGTTTTTTGTTATTTAATGGTATAGTACATTTATCTAATACTATTTTCTTTTTTTTCCATTTGTCGAGACATTTGTACACACAAATAGTACAAAAGAAAGAGAAAACTCTTATCGCCTTGGCAAAAAAAAACAAGACGGATTACTATAGATGAGCAAATCTATTATCCAATATATATATATATCTATATATATCCTCTCTTTCTTTTTTTATCTTTTTCTGCTGCCGTTTTTTTTTTCTTCGATAATAAATACATATGACTTACTGTCTCATAATTAACTAAATGATAGACGGATATATATCTGTATTTAACACTTGATAGCTCAAGTACGTTTTTTGTTTTTAAGACTTCTATTTATTTATAGAAAAAATCTCTTCTGTTTTCTTTTCCAAGCAAATTCACATATGGGTTTCTGATTAAATAAATTATACATTATCTAACCTTATGTTGCTTATACAGTATCAAAAGATCATCATTAGATATTGGTAAGCTAGTTTCGGATAAATGTATTTGACGTTGTTGTATTAATTGATTGAGTGTATGTAAAATTGAATCAATCATATGAAGTTCTTTAATTAAATCTTTTATATTGAATTGTATTGAATCTATAAATAGTTCTTATACCGAAACTAATAAGATAAGAAAACAAACAGACCATCAATCATAAGTTGGAGAGAACTACGTGTTTGTCGAAAATCTTCAGTAACAATAACATTAAGTTGTTCAATCTTAGGTGAAAGAGCCTAGAAAAATAAATATAATTATAAATCTTCAAAATATTATTTATAGCATATATGCGTTCCTTTGTTTCATAAGTACTCAATGACTCTGATATATATATACATATTAGCTAGCTGTCCGTCAATTGTTTTAATAGAAAAATCTTATGTTTACTGTTTTATTGTTGGTATGTCATTGATGACAAACATCAATGATTTTCTTATGATTACGCTTTTATGTTAAGTGCAAAATTGGATTAGAGATTAGCCTTGAGGAAAATAACTCGAAATGTCTTCTGTTCGAGTGAGCAGCTAATTAGATTTCGGAAGATTCTTATGATGAAAATACAGGAAGTTTTCTGGGACTATGTATATCTTAAGATTTATTGATTATATTAACTCATGACTTGTTTTATTACGTGATAATATTAATTTATAATCATATAAAAAGACGAACTTCAAATAAAATTCTTAGAAGAATAAATACTATACAAATTGTATAGCTATTGCAGACAAATGAGAAATCAGTTTTCCTTTTGAGTTGATCATATTATCAGAAATATATAAGATTCACCAGATCTATCATCAGTAAATAGTAACAATATTCAATGAGTTAGGATTGTTCCTAAGTTGTAAGTATGTATAAACAATAAAGGAGAGAGAATCAGAAACAGAATCGATCAGTTCTATAGTAAACTTTTATCTGTATCGTTTCCATTTCTGAATATTGATAAGGGTGTGAGTGTGGAGTGAGTGAGGGTATGAGGTGAAGCCCACACCCTAATTTCTTTACTACAAATATACTGAACTATCATACCTTTCCCGTAAAACCTCCAGATGTACTAAAGACAATATGAATGCTCTTTTTTTTTGTATTGTCCTAAAAAAAAGTATTTGTTCTCGTCAATTGAGCATGAATGAGAGGAAAGAAAAAACAAAGCTATAAATTTTATAACTATTTCTCTACCTGCTCTTTCGGTATATGATGAAATCCATTTGTTATTGTTGGTGATGATACTGAATTTATATTAATACGTAAATTTAATTGATTTATTCTTTCAAGTACAATTCGAGTTTGTTCATTTGGTAATGATAATGTTTGACAATGATTTGATATTTGATCTAATTTTATTTGTAATTCACTAATAGAATTTTCTGTTAGATGATCATCGGTTTGTTTTGACTAAATTTAAAAAAGTGAATTCAATTAAATTAGTTTAAAAATACAAACTTTTATTTCAATATTTGTTATATCATGTTCAATAACATCTAAATCAAGTTTTAGCTTATCATATTTTTTTAAAATATTCTCCATATCATTTATAGTTATTTCTAATTTATTCCAAGCTAAATTTAGTGATTCAATATCTGGTTGTAAAGATCCATTGGATTGTAAAATCTTAAAATTACTTCAATAGAAAATTTCATTCATTTTAAAAATAGTTTTACTTCAAATTCAGCATCTATAGATCTTAATCGTTGTAAGGATTGATTATATTTCAATAATTCAGTATTTTTTATAATTTCTAATCTGTTTTTGAACATTTGATATTGTTCAAAAGTTTGAAATTTAATTTCACAATTTAAAAAATCGAATTTTATTCGAAGCCATTTGAGAAGTTCAGTTGAAAGACTTGTATATTCATAAGATAATTTTCCTTCCTGTTGAATCTAATCAATAAAGAAAAATTCTTATTATATTTTGTTAAAAAAAAGAGAAAAACAAACTCTATTATGTTCTTCTTGAAATGGATGAATAGGTAGATTTGAACAAACTTTATATAAATGTGAGATATATAATAAAATACATTTTTCATCAGGTACATCGGAATCAACATCTAAAAGAATGAATAGTTTTAATTAACTGGAAAATATAATTTTACCTTCAGGATCAATCAATTTTGTAATTCCATAATGTTTTTCAGCAAAATTAAAAGCTCGAGTAAGATTTTCTCGATTTGAAGAACGATATGCTTGTTGAATATCGATTAATTTTGGGCTAATAATAAAGCAAAATCAATATTTACAAAAAAAACAGAAAGCAAAATTAACTAACTTATGTCGATGAAGTATAGCAAGAAATGCTCGACCATTACGCCATGAACTTGTAAAATCTTCAACATAAATCCCTGGATAATATTGACATTGTTGACGAGCCCATAATAATAATCTATGTCGATAATTTGATGGTACTTGATCAATTAGTATTTTTTTCACTAATGTTTCTATTGTGATTGAATTAGATACTAAAGTCGATTGAATTGGTAAATTAGATGGTATTGATTGGTGAGAATTTATCGAAATATTGTCATCAGATATAAATGAAGTTATATCAGAAAACTAAAGTGAAAGAATATTTGATTAAATTATTATCGCATCAATGTTCAAACGCAAAATAAATCCAATTTCAATTTTTATTAATCTACTTTGATGAGACCTTAGTTCCGCTGGTTTTACAATCAGCGATGGGGAAATTAATTTCAAGCTCAATTGATAAAGTGACACTTGTAGAAATTGGACGCCTATCGATTCATCAATAAAAATCGGAATATGACGCTGATCTAAGTTTTGAGTGAAACTTTTTTCTCAATGTAATATGTATAAACGTACTGGTTTTATAGATTATCGAGAACGAAAGTAAGCGATTTTAAATCTTTATAACTATCAATATCGATGATTTCTAATTTTAATTAATATTACTATACCAATCTATAAATCGCATGTGTTTGTGACATAAATGGGTTCTCACACTAACAAATTGTACTTAAGGAATAAAAAGACAATAATGTAACCTTCTTTCAGACTTATAAAAAGATAAACGACATACTCGTCTTAATTGTAATGACTAAATAGAAATATCAGCTAACTATTCGAAGTTTAGTTGTTCGACTATGTAATAGTTTCTTTATATAATTAATAAACATACCTGAAAGTGTAGGATAATTCGCCAAATAAGACCTAATGTCAATTTTGGATTACCATTTACTAATTCTTCCGGACGAATATTTACCAAACGAATCTAAATATGAATTATTTGAAAAAAATAAAATTTTATGAAATATCTATGAGTTTTACATTATGATCGTGTTTGAGACATTGAAGACATTGTTCAATATTTCGTAAAGCATGAAATTTTGATGTACCACGTTCACGAGGCTAAATAGAAGAATTTGGTTTTTTTGAAAGATTAATAATTAAATATACTTACAATTATTTGGTTGGTAAATATTTCTAATAAAGTTAATAATAAATGTCCATCACGTAAATCAAGAAATAAATCATCAACATATAAACCATTTCTGGTTGATAAATAAAAATTAATCCATTTAGTAAATGTCTTTTTTTGTATAGCATCACGTTGATCAGCTACTTTTAAAACTTTTCGATCAGCTGGATCTAAACTTAATACTGATATTGGTTTTTCATATATCCAATCTTGATCACTAATTTCTTGAAGAAATTTATTATCATGATTATCGACTATCATTTCCGTCGGCATCTGAAACAAAAAGAAAGAATCAATAACCTTGAATATATATACACACACGAAACAGTTGGCATCTGTCAGACATGGTTAATAACATTGAACGAGAAGAGAAAAAAAAAGGGAATGATGAGAGATGTCTACGTGCTTTAGTTTCATAAAAATGATACGACCTTTCAACCGTTCTATATACAAAAGCTTCCGTTCATTAATGTTTATTTAGATGAAATACGAGTGTGAGGTGCTAAATCAATTGATTGTTTACCAATTTTTACTCTCCTATTTGCTTTCATATTAGATGTTCAAAAGAACAATCACTAATATTGTACTTTCTTACTTATATTATTTTCATCTTTAGAACGGATATATATATATATAAAAGAAAGTACTAAGTCATACTTATCATTCAATCATTCGTCTATAGAAAAGAAGAATAGTGCCAGTCAAATAAAGAGGTAGTAGTGCATACATGTATAAATAGAAAATGATATATATGTGCATAAGATGAATAAACAATTCGCCCATGAAATAGATACACATATATAAGGAAAATTTAAACCAATAAGATCAATTTGATTTTAATAGTGATAACACAGGTTAGTTATATTGTTACTAACGATTGTTTAATTTAACAAATATCGAAAAATAATTCCGAATGTAATCTATAGAAGAAAAATATATATATATTGATTTGAATGAAAATGGAAATGATAAATTTGTATAACATTTCCTTTATTACTATTTTGCAATAAAACAGAAGTTTAATGCCTATAGGGCTATTAATATATCTCCATTAGTAATACATAAAGAATATACAAAAGACATGATCATGAACACATGCGGAAAACAAATACATCAAAAAATGAGATGCATTGATATGAAATGGAACATAGTACAGAGCAAACAGTACATTATAACATAAAGTTCAACAATAAAAATCATTAAGAAAGAAGCTTGTTCAAGAAGAAAATAACAATCGATTAGCGATCATGGTCATTGTAATTGTATTATATATGAAAGATGATGAGATTGAGACTGAGATAGATAGAAATTTTTATTATTAATTTCAAATCAACCAAGAAATTGATCAATTGCATAGTAATGAGAAATCCGGTTTTCGTCAATCTATACTTCCATATTTTTTTTGAAAAAAAATAGTTTCTATTGAATCAATCTTGTTTCCTGATTACTTTTCTTTTCATTGATATGTTTTCACAACGATCGATCAACCGATAAGTGAATGTGAATAGAAAGAAATTAATCTCTCATTTATTATCAATATTTACCGTTAAAAAAACAATCAACAATATGATATATTATTACAAATTTTTCATCATAACAAGAAAATGATAATTTTATTTTACAAAATATCTATGCATAGCATCTCTTCCCAAAATATATGAATAATATTAACATATAACAAAGATGAAATTTTGTAAACAAAAATATATGATTACATTTGAATTTATATCAATTATATCATCTGTATTTAGTAGAAAAGAATGAATAATAGAAATTTTTATAAATCACATTTCAAGTTCTATCGAAATATTCGATCTGAAAATTTTCATCTTGGCTGTTCGCGATATAGAATACTATTCGTTGAATCTAAGCCTAGTACTGAGATTGAATGTATAAACAATGCTCGTTTTTGCTATATAATTCATTATCAGTCAGACAATTATTTAAGTGATTATATTCTTCGCTTATTAAATTGTTCAAGTCTTTCGTTTTGTGTATAGAGTAAGATGAAATAAATCAATTCTTGTGAGTGTATGTTCCCGATATTTATTTCGTTTTATTCTTTTTTTCATAGACATGAAAATTTTTGTTATATTGTTGTTTCATTACAATCACAGATGGTAAATCAATTTGAAAACAACAAAAACAAAAAAATTAGAAACCCAAATTGTTCTTTTTTTAAAGTTGATAACCATATTTTTGAAGTACAGCAAGATGTTTAGCAACTTGTGGTTTTGATGCTAATTTTTGTTTAGCACTTGTTTTAAGTTTCTTTAATTCACGTTCTCGTAAATAATAATGTTTGGCCTTAATTTTTCGTTTCTTTTCTAATGTTGCAACAACAGTTTGATATTGCCAACCAACTTCAGTTGATAATCGACCAAGTTCAGTAAAACGACGACGTGGTTTAAGTCGTAATGTACGTAAAGCACTTGGTACAATCATACGTTTCTTTTTATCATAAGGTGTTGGAATACCTTCAAATGCACGTAAACGATGTAATGCTGCTTTACCACGTTCAGTTTTATGTGGTACCATACCACGTACAATACGTGTAAAGATTTTTGATGGTGCACGGAAATGAAATGGACCACGTGCTGGATTGATGTTACAACGTTTACGAAGAAATTCCAAATATTTAAGTTTGTTTCGATAAAATGATCCACTAATATTAAGACCTTCACATCGTACAACGACAACATTATGACCTTGTAAAATTGTTTTAGCGATGGTTGCTGCTAAACGACCAATTAAGTGACCGCGACCATCAATAAGTATTGATTGAGCGCGAAACCCAATTGTTTGTAACTAAAAATATATGAAATAAAAGAAAAAGATTTTCTAATGGAAAAATAATATTAACTTACAGCTTTTGTGCGTGCCTGGGCTGTTTTGGGCATGATTGTTGTTATCTAATTGATCGAAAACAATATCTAGAAATACAATGTTTCATGTTGTAATACATATATCAAAATAAAAGAAAGAATCTTCATTAAAACTTCTCATATTATAATACTTTATTAATAATTCAATATTTATGTCATATTGAAAATTATCTAGTTTATCTATTAATTTAGTTATCGAACTTTCTCACTCGAAAAGAAATAAATAAATAACTTGCAACAATCTCGTCAGTCTTTTCTTATTGATTCTTTAACAACCAAACATAACGATCCTTCATTTACCAAATGTTCTCTCATACATGAATTAATCATAAATTTTAATTGAAAAATTTCCGCAGAAAAAATTCTTTTTATTAAAAATCTATCTTTTTTTTTAAAAAAAAATATTCATTCTATTTTATTCTATTCTACATCGAATTTGAGTGACCTCTATTTAAACCAATGAAATAATATTTCTCATATTGTGTCTTGCCTGTCTCTTTCCGTTTGTTTAGGATGCAGATATATATACGGCAAATCTATCATTTTATTTGTTTATTTTTAGAATAATAACTTAATATTATACAAAAAAATTTCCATTCCTATGTTAATACGACTGATATTTTCTATTATTTTAATATTTTCTTTAATTCAATCATTTATTTCTGCACTTCATTTACATGGACATTATTCTACTAAAGAATTTTTTCGTTTATTAACTAAATTTGGTATACAAAAAA